TTCTCCACCCACAACTCAATGCAATCGTGCTTAAGCATAACAATAGACCAAGAAATATAACAATCATGACATGCAACCAATAATTCACACACATTCATAATCAACAAGAAATTTAAGGCATGCAATAAAAAAACAAGCAATTAACATAATCACCCCAATAACATCATGCATTGAACTTAAGTTGTTCTAATCCCAATCAAACCTAAGAGGAACCTCACCTCTGTGGAGAGAAGTTCTGACTTGAAGAAGATGAGACAACGATGAAGATGGTCTCAGAATGATTCACTCTATTCAACCTTGATTTTCCTTCAAGAGTTCACAAACCCCAACATGCAAGATAATTTCCTTAAAAATGATCAAGCCATTTCTTCTTCTATATCTCTACTCACCCTCTCCTCTCTCCTCTCTCTCAATTTTATGATTTTCACAAGAATGAAATGTAAGATATCCTCACAAAATGAAATATTATCATATGTGGGAAAAGGCCCATTTTCCCTTGCCTCTTAAGTGAAATTACCACCATGACACTAATGAGTTTAGTGCTAATAATCTACATACTTGGCTTAGAAACATAGATTAATCAGTTAGTAATTTTCTCCTAATTCCCGTGGATCTCTACCAATCACAATTTAGTCAATTTAGGGATACTACATAGTATGCAAATTATTCTTCCATTTAATTAAAAGAAACCAAGGGGCAATGTTTAAATTAGACAATACACGAATGACCAACATTGAGTCAGTTTCAAGCCAAAAATTTCTCCAATTATTCATGTTAGCATGTTCGATAGAAAGCTTGATTCCATGCAATTTAACTTGAAAGGAGGTGTAAAATCCAGTCTTAACTGTGAAAGCTCTTAGGAATATTTATAAATTATCCCTAAATACGCCATCACAAGTTGATATTCTAGGGTTTCCTCTAAAGTTCTATCCGTGTTGCACTTAATTCAATTATGACTAAAAAAGACCAATTAACTTGTATAATTCTAAGTGCGGAAAGAGGTCGACATTTAATGTAAAAGTACTCAATAATTGTAAACTCGTGAATTGAAGAGTACACATGTCCTTTAAAAGAAGTAGATGCAATATAGATTAATTGTTTAACATGAAAAATATCTTTATCAAAGTCAATGTTATCATGTTGAAACCTGATATCATTTCTGGTGCACCAAATTTTCCAAAAAGCTTTCGTAACTATTTCTATCAATGTTCTTGCAATAGCTCCATCTAATGTTAGAAAAGTAAAGCTTACTTGCATCTAAGCAATACGTGGCTTCCAATTTCCACATCAAGGTTTCAGAGAGAGAGGACCTCAAAACCATATGCATTCTCTTACGAATGAGGTTGTCATCTATTACAATAACAGTATGCATTAGTTTCAAAGTCACTAATGACTTAGCGTGCAATACGTACGAAAGCCAGATGAATTTTGTCCAAGAAACCTCAATGTGACCCCTCCTTATACAACTGTAGACATCTTTAAAAGATAGATAACCATTTGTCTATCACGTCTAAATGAGTTTATGAGCACTAGTATTGTCAAATGACAAGTTAATCTTCAAAATATCTTAACAATTTGAAGAGGCAAAATCAATAAGCCATGAGGAATGTTTCAATTGATGTCTTGGGTAATTGAGTTAATCTTAACAATTTGCATAAATTGAATATCCACGAGTAATACTAAGTGTAAATATTTAATTTTGTATCAAAACCAAATTTTACATTCCAACCAATTATCAGTTCATAAATCAACGTTTTTCCTATTACAAACTTTTTATTTATTATGTTCCTCCAAAATGAGAAAAAAGAATATTTAATATCATAGTTAGAATTAACAATGAATTAAACCAACTCGAATATATATAGTTCAAAATTCAATTTGACAATTAAATTATTGAAGTAAATTCATGAATCAAATGAGTTAAATATAAATAAAAAATTAAATTCATTAATTAAATAAGTTGAACTTTAATTCTACTCATAAAATTATAATTATATATGAG